CACTTAAATTGAAAATATAGGCCATATATTTTAATATTAGAGATATACACCAAATTTGACTTTATTACCCTTAAATTATAATTATTAAAAAAAATTGATTTTTTCTGTCATAATTATCAATTTATTGGCAAAATCTTTTGAAATCATATATAGTTTTTTTCTTTTAACTGAATTTTTTTCATCTTCTTCGTTCTTATATCTTCCATCAGGGAGACAGTTGAGGATCAATTATAGTTGCATCCTTAAAAACCTATTTTTTCTCTTAACCCTTGCTTCGATAAGTCAGCCGCCGTAAGTTCAGATTGATCCGCGTCCGACGGCAACGCCGTCACCGGCTTTCCTTTGTTCATAAGGTCCCCTTTGTTTCCTTCATACTCGTCGTGGTGTTAGGGTGAAAAAAATTGTTCGAGTTTCTTCTTGAAAATCAGACATATCCACACTGAAAATCATAAAAGGTTGCAATGTTCGATTAGTTTATGTTAGCAGTAGACACTAGAACTCATTGAGGCTGAACTTTGTGTATCAAAGCAATCATCTCTCAATTCTTTGATTAGCTTAAATAATCTGAAAACTGATCCATGTTCCGTTTATTTTTAGAGAATCCTGGAAGCTTGATCAGAAAGAAATGTGGATGGAATCGATATGAACTATTGTATTCCTATGACAATTTCTTAAAGCAGAAGACGACAAAAACATTGTTGAATGGGTTATCCAAGTATTATAACTCTCGTATATTTTTATATTTTGTTTTTCCCTTACCAGTTTGTTCACTTGTAGAAAAAACTTAGAATTGGTGGATTTGTTCTTCTTTGTTTTTTTTTATGACCAAACTTCAGAAACGAATGTGTTTAGCGATAAGAAGAAATAACTATAGGAATCATTACGTTTAGAATTTACGGTGACATAACGACAATCTTTTTAATTTTGCTCTTAAATTTTAGGTTGATTGTAGTAATGGTATAAACGACATTTCATATATTATTTGGCTTATTTTTTTAATTTTCAAAGATTTGGTGTATTCCTTTAATTTATCTTAAAAGTGGTCTATTTCTTTAATTCTCCCCTAATTAA